AACGCATGTAATGAACAAGCGAGATTAACACGTAATGTACCATTGCGTGGAGAAACGGTACGAGGTAGATGCAATAATGAACTTGGATTTTTCTCACAAACAAAGTAAGATATTGTAATTTTTTCAATTCTTGTGCAACTGCCAGCTGAGAGTAACACTATAGAGAAACTTTTCTTCCCCTTTGCTTCATATATAAAGTGTGCCATTTTATAACTATTCAGTTCTTTGTTTGGGAAGTTTCTAATTAATGTTAAATTATCTAAAATTTGATAAGCCTCGCGATTAGGATAGCTTTGCAAATTTCTGTCCAAGATAAAAACTCTAATTGCTGGGTTCTTGCAGATGTCACAGTCTGCCGTAAATATTTTCATGTCGACATGAAAGAAATCAGAACCAGAAAGTGACAAGGGCGTTAAAACAAGAAATGACTTTGAAGAATCTTTTGGATTGCATATAGAGCATGATTTCCTGACACTTGGAGCTGTATTAACTGACCACTAGTAACAAAATATTACTAGTTAGTTTATTAAAGCTTGACTTCTACACTAAATGGAAAATGCTGCGTCGTTATTTTATGTGATCAAAAAAACATCGAGACTATATTTTAATTTTATCGTTTTTTTTTTACATACCGATGTTGTTCTTTGATTTGGATCCTCAACACTGAAATCAAATAAGTCAGAACATTCTGCTGACACGAGGATAACTATAAGATAAAAAAATTTCCTCGAAGGAAGAATAACAAGTAAATAATAACTACGCCATTACTTTTTACTGAAATTTGTCGAAGATATGTCGTTGGAATAAATGTGACTTTCAGATATTGTTCGCTTCAAAGCAGTAATTGACAATGTTTTCAAATTTCTAAACATTTTTAGGTAAATGTTTAAAATAATTTGCTTGATGTTATTATAACCAGTAAATGTGATGTTGTTTATCACTAAGTTGTAACAACAACACTTAATTACCTTTTTTAGCAAATAACTGCTCTACAAACAAGCTCAACAAACAGAAACGATACAAGGTGTAAAATGCCATGTATATAAGTTCTTAGACTGAACCAGTTGCGCGTTAAACCTGGTTGTAACTTTTCTCAGAAATTGATTAACCGCAGTGTTGCCAGATGAATAATTAACACAGTGCTGCCACTCCGTATATGCACATTTCCCCTACCAAATTTTATTTCCCCCCTACCTCTTCCGACGACCATTTTCCTTGTTTTCTGCTACTTTTCCCCTACACAACAACATATTTCCCTATTATATACCTATGTCGGGTCAGACCACTGAATTTTTTATTCTGTTTGCAAAAAAGTGAATACAAAAAAAATTGAAAAACATCTGAACTATAAAGTTAGTAATTTGGCGTAAGAAGTTGTGACGTAATGACATGCAAGTGACGGAAATGACACATTGTGTTTATGCTAAATTGCTAATCTTCTATTGCCATATATGGTCACAAAATGTTCTAACAGAAAGTTTCTGTTACAATCACTTCTTAAATAGTAAGAACACAGGTAGAAAAGAGTATTTTGATTTTGTTTTCTCCCTACAATCCCCCTACATTTCACAGTTTTCCCCGTAGGTTCCCCCTATCACCTACAAACCACTAAATCTCCCTACTGTAGGGAATTTCCTCTACGAGTAGCAGCACTGATTCAAAATATTTATGTTCGCCATTGCTTTAATACGTGACGTCAAAACATCACAAAAATTGTAAAAAGTTTGTTCATCGGATTTTTAAGAAAGTTGCCGGATAAGCATTGGGAATAGTCATTGAACTTAACACTTTCTTAAGTAAAATAATGAAAAACATATAATTGATAAAAGTTCATCAAAGTGCGTCAAAGTGATTACCTGTCAAAGATCAGAGTGATGACGATACAAGCTTTTGTTTCAGGTAAAAACATTGGTTAATCCTGTCATAAAGGATTCAGAACATATAAACTTTGCCTTATACCTCGGTTGATTGTAAAACAATGACTTTCATGACACACACTGACTTCATTGAGTAAATCTGCACTTTGTAATCCTAGCATCTAAAGCCTAACAGGCCATAAGAATTCAACTAATAACTTTTCCATGTTTTTCTACTCCTCATTTAAACTGATGATAAGTTTCCTTATTTCAACGCCTATTTCCAAGACTATATGAAGTTGTCACACAGGGATTCCATTTCCATCATATTTTCAAGATCACAATTCCAAACAAGTCACAACATGAAAATCTTGCCAAAAAATTGAGGACGTACGTCAGTTCATCAATTCAACATCTACATTGCACTCTATGCGTTCTATAAAATCTTCAAAATCTTCACTTGACCATTGCTTATCAATTGTTATCTACCATCATTGATGAGAGTAAAATGTATTATCAAACCTGAGTCAAATACAATTAAAAAGGTTAGTTCAACTTCGACAGGCTATTGTGTATAAATTACTGAATAACTTACAGTAGTTTTGAAATATAATAAAAGAGAAGAGTTGTAAAGCTATGGAATGTCATGTTGTTTATTGTATTCAATGAGCTAATGCAAGCGTGTTGAAAATTTTGGTCAAAATTGCATTCCTTCATCTTTGAGAAGGTGGAGACCTCTGAAATTTTGCCAATTATCAAAATTTTTTCTTGTCTTTTTTAGCTATAAAAATTAACCCCTAAACTTTACCCCTTCATTGAAACAGTCGGATTTTACAGTTAAACTAGTTTTTTTATGACCTGTTCAATATTTCGTTGCCATTATTGCCACATAACCTAAAGTTTTTCGTCCCTTATATACCCATTACTGTTTTTATACTTAGGAAAATAGTATCTTAACTCTAAAGAACGCAAATGTTATTGTCTAGATATAAATTTTGCCTTGGTTAGATGAAACGTAGCGACAAACGTTTCTTGCTACCTGTTTAGCACAAATCTGGGTCAACTTCAGCAATTATCTAGAAATAGAAAATTGCCTTAAATTTGTACAGAAAAATGAACTTTTTACCTTTTCTCTTGGATTCTTTACAGAAGCAGTCCAATAGAAAAGTTAAAATTCTAAGCACATCATCTTTTTTAATGCCAAAATGCTACGAGCAGAATTACAAGCTCTTGTTGATATGGTTAGCTTCCACTTCCATATTTTTCGTTGGATTTTTTAATTCAAATATGTCATATTATATTACTTGTTTTAACGAAAAAAATCAAGAGACCTTTTGGTGCGTTAAGTGCTACTTAAGTGGTTTTTACAACGATTTACAAATGTGAGACAGTGAACCATTTTTTAACGCTAAAATCTTTAATCTTCGTTCCATTACAAAGAACCGTTTGCAAACAGACCAATAAAGAGATTGGGTCCATAACTTCATGAATAATAACACGTTTAAGATACCCTGTGTTTAAAACGACAGTAATTGGACGTGAGGTATATTTTCCACGGCAAGGAGAACCAGGTACCAAGCCAGAGCGGGCAGAGCTAGTTAAGGAGACACTACAAGGGCAAGAGGAAGAGCTTGCAAAACACTAGAACCAGACGACGATTCCACTACGAGACCAAGACCAGTGCGAACAAGTTCACGATCACCAGCGTAGACCAAATCACCAACAACATCACCCCCATTAGAGACTAGACAAACGGAGAAACCAACAGCGATAGCTTTATGCCATACGTAGGAAAAACAGTCACCAGAATTTTATCTGCAGTTCGCAATTTTATGCCAAAATTTACCTTCAAGAATTGCACGAAGCTAAAGCGCGGGTTCTAATAATTTGGAAGCAAGCGTAAAACACTCAGCATGTACTCAAAAAATATTTAGAAACGTTTCGTGCCAAACATATTGTTAAGTTAGGGCCACATTGCATCACCTTTTATCAAACAACATTTCTGATCATATGAAGAAACAGTAATTCTGATCGGCCACTTGCAGTGCAGGTAATTTGTAAAATGTAGCTAATTATCTTATGCAAATTTAAAATCAGGATGAGCGGTTAAACCACTGGTAAGAATAAATGCTTAAAGAGAACTATGGTTACGTTCGCCAACAATTTCTGTAAATACATACAATTTCACACGATTCTATTTTTATACAGTAACAAACATACTAAATAAAAAATTACAATGCATTTAGTGCAATATGTATAAACTTTCTAAAATTACAAGTAAACATGATATTCTATAAAATAAAAATAATAAAACGCGTGCGCTGATTGGTCTTTAGCTGAGTTTGTATTAGCCTAAGCCAACGATCTGAGCTAAACCAATAAAATCAATCATTCAATGAGAATTTGAAAATCAATCAAGAATTTATTTTAAAAGAAAATATGAAACAATTGTTTTAAATTTATCTGCTTCGCATAATTGTCATTTTATGAAAGAAACAAAAGATGTCTTTTCGTCTTTGCACTGACTTATGCAAACCTCGGAGACGTTTGTGAGAATTCTTGAGAAGGTGCAACCTTCGGTCGATCTCGGCCTAGACTGATCTGCTTTCCAGATCTCCCAATGGTCTCCTTGGTTTGCACTAGCATGTGTAAACACAGTAAATATCTTTTATATCTGAAATAATCAATAGCATGGCTAGCCCACATCTTTAGTCCTGATGTATGCGAATTTTCAATAATAACTGCAAAAACCATAAATTTCTAAAGAAATTAATGATGATCCAAAACGTACATAGCAGGAGAAAAACTTGCGGGTTAGTCACTCTATACCAGGGATGAATCCACGATGATTTTGTAAAGGGGGTAAGGAGCTCATGTTTGAATTATATTTCTGTGGCCAATTGTAGCCGTGCATGTCAGACTTTTTCTGTTAAATTCTGTCACCTTCTTTTTATGATTGGGAGATTTTTGCAAGTGTGCTCCATTAAACACTAATGACAATTGCTTTTGCTTAATTGTTTGGTTGTCACGATATGTACGGAATTAGCTTCACTATTACAGATCCTCTAGTCAACGCTTATATACAACCTCTCCCCTCCCCCGAAGGCTAAATCCTTCCGAGAGCTAGCGCTAGTAGCAGACAAATTTTAGAAGATTTATACTCCTTTTAATAATTCTTCATCGCACTCTTACAAAATTATCTCTTACAGAATTCACTGTTTTCTTTCCACATACTTTCTCCGTCATCATAAACCTCCTATCAATGGATAAAAAAAACAAATGAATTATATGAATACACATATAGCAATTCGCGATTCGAGTAATATGGTTAGTGCACAACTCCAACTCGCTTAAATCAAATTACCCGCTAGCTCAACGTAAATTTTATGTCCCTTGGTCAACGCTGATTGGATAAGTCAAACTGTAATATGGAAAATGTATAAAGGTATATCGCAAATTTATTGATTGAAATTTCGGTCTATGTAATTGAACAAACAGCATAAACCCAATTACACATGCAGCATAGCTTAAAAGCTTCACATTGTCAAATTTGCTTCGATACAAGTCAGAACGTTTATGATGTAGCTTGTATGCAGTTCGTAAATCATAATGTAAAGCACAAATATATCAAGGTATCATCATCATATAGTTTAGTTATCCGTATAATGCACGTAAGCTAACAATTGCAAATGAACTACAAAATGCTCTTTTATTTCTCACAAGAGTTTACGCCAACTGAGTTCAAAAGAGTTCAACAGCAAAATCAATTTGTTTGATTTTAGAGAGACCCAACCTTGTGAAAAGGCACAAAAAATAGTCTATAGACTCATTTTATCGCTCTTCTCCTTTAGTGAATGATTAAAAATTGGTCTGACGTGAAAGAAAACGCAAGTGACCTCAAATTGCGCAATTTCACAACTTTATATGAATATGCAAGCTTCATAATTTGCGCGAACAGAAAGCGTGGGCTCCAATACTTTTTACGCATGCATTAAACGTTCAAACAGACAACGCGAAACAAAAAATCATTACGGCTGCAACGCACTATCTTTTAACGAATATATTCTCTCATCGCATGAGAAATGAGGAATAAATACGTGTTCGTCATCAGGACAAAATAAGTTATAAATAACCTTCTTCCATATAGGAACATTTGCCTTTAACTGGTCGATACAATATTGCACTGCTTCCAAGGAATCTTTACGATGTACAGAAGAAATTGCTATCACAACACTTGCTTCGGATATTGGTACAAGCCTGAACATAATTAAAATGGTGATTAGTAAAATGTTCAAAAAAACTTATTTTTTTTTAAACTTTTCTACGTGAAAAGCGTGATTCATTGAAGCAAGGAAGAAATAAGATAAAACGGATCTCGTTCATACGATTACCAACGGGCCAAAAGAACATGGCCGTTTTAACGGGATAGTCGTATAATGAAGTGACATCAAAGCGTGACGTCATTGAAGTATGTTGAAATATACATAGCATGGAAACTTGTGCACATTGGCAACATTTAATCTTTTAACAGAAATGAAAAAAAAAGGGAAAAAACGTAGATGTGCAAGAAAAAAACATAAATTCAAAAAATAGGCAAAGTTGAAAAAACTTGTATTCATTCTTTGGCTTTGCACAGTCATTTGTACGCGTATAAAAATTCACAATGGAAACATAACCAGAACGTAGTATTATGCAATTTGGATGTCGTTTGGTACAGCAGGTATTTCAAATTATGTCTGTTAGACAACACAATTTACTATTTCGACTGGCCATATAAACGGGGATTTATTTAGGTCAGGACTTCAAAATGTGCCATTGACTGTATTTACGAGATGACCGTAATAACCGGTTGATAAAGTGAATGCTTCAAACTCGGGAGTATCGTTAAATGTTTGTAGATGTAAATCGCCCAGATAGAGTCCTGAGAAGGACTGTTGGTGTTGATGCTGACTGAAGTTTCGACAAACTTAGCGGTAGTCATCTTCAGAGTTAAGTGAAGAGTAAACATTAGATTTACTGTATTTGTTGTCTGATTCATACGTCATCGTATTGTGCGTACAGGAAATTTTTGGGTGAGTGGATGTCAATTGTGTATTTTCATCGTGGGTTAGTCTAAAATGTGTTCGAGGTTGTGAATAAGTCGTTGGTAAGGTGCCGGTAATTGTTGTGATCTGTTCAGTAGGTTTTGTTTTAAGTTGGTATACCAACATTCTAACGTTAGCCGTTGTCGGCAGTTAGTTCTGTAAGAGTGCCGAGTCCCAGTCAATGTTGTGTTTTGTCAGTCAGTGATGTTCGGCAATGTGATTGGTTTTGTCTAGTTTCTTTGTAGCTCGTTTGTGATCATTCTTATGTTTAAGTTCCTGCCAGTTTCCCCGATATAGAATGCGTGGCAGTCGGAACAGTTTATCTTGTACACTGCACCCTGTCGTAACGTTGTAATTGGTTTGTTTGTCTGCGACACGTATGTTGTATGGTCGTAAGATACGTGAGATTGTCTCAGACATACCTTGTAATATGAAGTAATAACAAGGTACATTTTATCATAAAATACGTCAGTGTTTTGACCATATTATCGAGGTGACGATAACGGCTGATGTGGGTTTTACTGTAGCTACTATCTTTCATTTATGTCCTTAAATAATGATTAATAAAACTATTTCTGTTTCATCAAATAATTAACCACGAACTATTTTATTATTCGTGGCTAGTGGAGAACATTCTGTTAAAGCTTTTGAACAATCTAATGTTTTGGAAATTCCTGGAAACATAATTGGTTCAAGAGCGGATCCAGGATTTTCTTCAAAAAAGGGTGCCTAATTTGGACATGCTATAATACCAAAACATTTTCATTAGCAAACTATTGCAATATACGGGGTCTAGAAGAGGTGCGCACCCTCTTATGGATTCTCCCATGTGGCCATGTCTATTACAAGCCTTACATTGGCAAAGTCATCAGTCGCTAAAAACGTCATATGAATCATACTACTGCAATAAATAACATTGGATGGACAAAGCACATAGGAAAACTCACCCAATTCTATGAAATATAGCAATTCGAACAACACACCATTTTTGTCGAATATCTTGGCAAATTTTTCGAAGCTCTTTCTCTGCCATATTTTTGTAAGCCTCGTATTCTAGTCTCACTACTTTCTTCCCGTTAAATGAATCACGTGTTGTTCCTAGATGATTAGAAAATTGAAACTCTCTTTAAAGGAAAGGTGTAACTTTAAATTTCTGCTTAAGGGATGTGGAGACAATGAGACAACTTCTTGTTTTAATTGCATCAAAGAATTTATGTAGTTCTATGTAAAAAATTACGATATTATAGAAAATGAGCTTTCTTTTTTACAACAGCCTGATAACACACAAAATCGATATTTCCCTCATAGCCAAAGTTAGAGATGAAGTTCAGAAGTGTGAAGAGACCAAAACACTACGAGTTCTGCTAAGTAATGCACTAACTTACGTGTACACAAAGAATATTCTCAAAACTAGCTGAGCAGTTACATAGGCCTGGTTTGGATACATAGAATAAATAATAATATAAAATAATTTACCAACAAATATGGATGTTGCGCCTGTTGAAGAGGTGGACACCAAGGATGAGATTTTTTCAACATCAATACAGTGTTCTGCTATGTTTATAAAATTAGACTCTGTTGTCACCATTTTTGTTTTGCAAATCAACCTCCACTGAGAGGTGGGATAACAGCAATGTGATCTCCCCTTTTCAAGTTGATTGTATCATCAAGACTGATGTATTCCTCATTCACAGCAAGCACAAGACAAGATGAAATAGATTGCAGACTATGAAGAAAACAATTTAGGTGATAGACATTTCCTAAGGCCTTCTTGACATGTGCACTTTTGGTGAACATTGATTTGATGGTAACAAAAAATACATGAAATGCTATATCAACTAGTTCTAATTTGAACTGAATTAGACATAGTAACATTATATAACACCATAAACAAGTAGTTTTGAAATATTTTCATGCAGACACAACCTAAAAGAATTGCTTTACATAAGGATTGTACTTTGATCATATATGAGACTAGGATCCTGTAAAGAAAATTTATTGTCTTGGTCAATATTCTAAAGGATCTTAAATGATCTTACAAGACCTTAGTGCAATCTTATAGGATCCTTTACTCAATGATTTCAACAAGATTCTACGTAAATCATAAAAAAAAACATGAGTATCAGGTTCTTATACCTGGGCCAGGTATGGGTGACTTTTTCTAAAATATGATGTCCCTTTAAAGGAGTAGGCAGTGAAAGATGGCAGTTGGCTGTATCTGCAAGGTCTTTGGCTTTGGCAAACAATAACACCTGTACCTATTCGAACAAAAATGTCAAATTTAGGAGGAATAAATTGATTCTAAACCAGTCCTTATTCAAATTTTTTCGAGGGAGAAAAGCAAGCTATAAAGTGATTTATAGGTTTTTATTGTAAATATCAAGTTCTATGATAGAGAACACATAGGTTAAAATTGCATTCTTGAAGAATGCATGCTCTGAATACGTTTGTAATGCCGATGTGACATCCTTTCCCATCAAGTTCTACATAATTACGTTAATCTGATTTTTCAAATTTTGGTCGGTGATCATAAATTGATGCCACATAAAATGAACTCACAAATTCAATATTAAACTTCCTAGAACACAGCACACGTGATACCTCATATTTTTTTGTTCCAAATGTAAAGCAATGGTGATAATTATGAAAACACTTACAATCAGTGGTGTAGAAGTGGGGGGGGGGCGCTTGGGAGAGGAGCCCCCCTTCTACTTTTGACATTGGTAATTTTAAAAGGGCACTATTAACAAAAACGTCAAGAGAGCCCCCTCCCTCTGATAAATTTAGTTCTACAGCACTGCTTACAATCACTACTACAAGCAAAAAAATACAGATAACATGTACATACCTGTACTTTGCAACTGTTGGAAATTTCATCCATGCAAACTCAAATTTTCTCAGATGTAGATATTACCCAGTCGGTAGTTCTGCTGTTAAAATGGGTAAGAGTGGTTTTACGTACAATGATAAACAGAGAACATCGATATTCATTTATTTTGACGAGTTTCAATCACTCAAAATGACACTTATAACCTGGAGATTGATTTAATTTCGGGTGCTACCCACAATAGCATTGATATGTTCTTTTGCATTTGACCACCAACATTGCAGCCGTGACCTAATATGCAAACTACCTATCGAAGAAACTATAAATGGTGCTTTGAAATACATTTCAGGATGCTCTTTCATTCTGTATTGATGAATTTTCGTGCTTAAAAAAGGTTATTGTTATCAATGCAGTACACGTCCAGACGTGAGACGTCCACTGGAAAATAACAAAAACGTTGGCTGAACTTTTTCCCCATTCGGTAATTACGCGCCTCTATAGTACGGTATATTTCCAAAAACAAAACCAATTACACAGTCATATTTTTTACTAAATAAACTTTGGCATTAACTGCATTACAAATTACCTCGTCTGAATAAAAAAATACATATTTCTCTACGTCAATAATTTAGAATACACGTAATTATGTTTCGTTATTTTGTTTTGCCTCTTTCTTCCTTTTCTTTAGCATTTCCACCAGGAATTTATATCTGGCAATACATTCTTCCTACAAACAATAATAAAAAAATCATTCACGCACACATAGACAAAGACTAAAGAAAGAAGAAAGAGAGCGAAAGTGCTGGAGGTAGTCATACACAGAGGTTGCGAATGTTTTATATAAACTTCATGAATAAAATACGATAGCTCATAGCTAGGTAATCTTTATTATACAAAGAAAGAATATTTCCGTGAGTGGGTAATGTCATTCTTGAATCAGGGATTTTGCTCATATTTTGGAAATCTCAAAATAATATTTCACCACCCTGTGCAAGGAAAAAAGACTGACACCACGTTCACACGATACCGGTAGAGATTGAAAACGATGCAAAACTCTTAAAGTTTGGGGTAATGTTCATACGACACTGGTATTAAAAAGTATAAAACCGTAACGCTTACAGTAATAGTTTGAAAACGGTACGCCTATCTGTAGCAGTTTGAAAACGGTACCAAACTATACCGTTTCCGTAATGTGTGAACACCTAATAACCGTAACAGTTCCATTACGGTTCGGCGAAACTTTTTCTCAGCTAAAAATGACGCAATGAAATACTCGAACACAATCGTGACGGTGATAAACATGGTAAGAAAAAATACCTCAACTTCAGGATCCGGTTGCACAAAGCCTGGATGGCGTTATTCATTGGATAGCGAAAATTTTCAAACTTGTGAAAAAAGTGTTTGTATTTTTCTTACGACAGAGAAATTTCGTAATCTTCGAAACAAAGTTTTATTTCAGTGATTGTTCAGTTTGAATCTTATACTTTTTGCTTTTTAAAAGGTTTTATTAAAGTTTAAAAAAACTTGCTATCCAATGGATAACGCTATCCAGGCTTCGTGCAACCGCCCCCAGATAAATATAACTCAAATAAACAGAAAGCCAGCATTAATCCGGAGTAGTGTGAACACAACACCAAAACGGAGCAAATCTCTGACGGTACAGTTTGAAACGGTAAGAAATTATACCGGTACAGTATCGTACCGGCATCCGGTGAATGTAGTCTTAGTCATACGTATATTCAGCTGTTTTAGCATGATCAATAAATATTATAAAATAAACAAAATGAAACGAGAATGTGCTACGAGCATGTGCTACCCTCGACCTTCGGTCTCGGGCTTGCACTGATCTGCTCTCGAGTTCTCCCAAAGGTCTACTCAGTTTGCATTAGCCTGTGCAAACACAGTAAACATCTTGCATTCGTTAAATATACGAAAAAATCATGCAGATAAACGAAAGGTCGCTAATAATGCCAACCTGAGAAATATACTGCTACAATTAATAGAATATGTAAGGTTATTACAAATTTGAGAAAAATGTCGACAATTTGTCTGTGTGACTTTGTATGGTCGAACATCTGCGAAAACGCCAAGTTCATCACTTTCCACAAAAAAACACTTATCTTGAATTTTTCAATTCAAAAGAAACATTCTAAAGCAGACTTAACTAAATATTTAGTGTGAATCAAAATTAAACCGCATTGCTTTGCTAAAAGTACAAGGAGAATTTTCTCCCTGAAATGAAGTTAAATAACTCTATTGAGAAAAATCAAATATACCTTGCTTTTTCCAGGAACATTTTTTGCAATTTGAGTCCATCTATCAGATGCATCCTTAGGCACCGTGGCTAAAGCCTTCTCAAATTGTTTTTGCTGATTTTGAGTCCACAAAGAATCATTTGATTTTGTCGTACTAACTGTATTATATCCCTTGTCGGTAGTTTCCCATGTTTCGTTGTCTTTGACATTATTAAAATTTGTCTTCAACTGATGATCTATAGATGTTGTTAAATCTTGGTCAACGCAAACAGCTTGAGTAACAATATTGTCATTAAGACTTGACGCTTTCTTGTTTGGAAGAAGTCTTGTCAAATCAGCTAAAAAGTTGGGATTACGTAAGCATCAAATTACAAAAACCAGTTAATAGTGCCGATTTTCATCGACAGAGTCTATTTAGAGAACTGGAAAGAAGCAACAGCTACAGTATTTCTTGGTGTTTTTCCTCTTTAGGACTATATCTTTGCGATATATTGATCATTATAAATAACATATGACAATTCTTGGACTTGAGCTATTCACGATTTGGTTTGTCTTCAGAATTCTTTAGAAAATGAAAACAAACCGAACAATAACTGCTGACTTTGAATGTAGCAGAAATAGCAATCCTCAATTCCTCATTCTAATTTCGAACACATACATACAACATACCATAAAAAATAATAGAAAACTACACTAAGTTTTTATAAAATTGATGTGAGGAAAGATTTCACTGGCATCTTCGCAAAATTTCGTACATGCTGTAGGGCTTCGTACCTGGATGCGGGATTGCCTGATCTTTGATCATGGTTTTACTTTGTTTCACGTGTGACGTAATCTGTAAAATATACGTAAAAGACGGATAATGAAATCACATCCCCAGATAGTATCACAACCAATGCTTACAACGAAAATCTAAAGGCGATAATATTATTAATATATTAATCATAAGATCATACGCAGTAGCTACGAAAAAGACATACTTAAAGAACGCAATACTTTTGTATAAATACATTTACGCATGCAGTAGGTTTAAATTGTAAATAGCCGCAAACTTCAGTTAAAATAAACCCCTGTATTTCTGTACTCATTGAATTTCGTATTGACCAATTTAGCAATGTATGTTTGTAAATGTCAATCGTCCAGGTTGGTATAGACCTGAGAAGGACTGTTTTTGTTGTTGTTGACTGACGTTTCGACAAAGATACTCCCGGGTTCAAACCATTTACTTTATTAGCAATGTATGATACATATTTGAGAAATTGAAATGAAATTTTGTTGAAAGCAGCAACACTTAACTTTTTTTACTTTTAACTATAAGAAATTTTTTGTATGATCTGGCAATTTATAAAGAAGTTCGATGTGTCGGCGAATAGGATTTAAAAATCATGCAAATTTCACTAGCATCTATTGTAGACTGTTGCGGTATAAAAAAAACAACCGATATCGATATATAGAAAAAAATATCGATATTTATAGATATTCGGATATTTTTTTCGTTATTTATAGTGTTGCTGGCGATGACTCATAGCTAGATCAAATTGAAACTTAGCTAACGATTGCCGCGCGCTGGTTAAGACTCATATGTCAAATTGTTGACACTTAGCTAACAATTGCCGCGCACGTGTGATTGGGTCAAGATTGTCTAATAGTAAACAAAACCATTAAAAAACCATAAAGCCATTAAAAAACCATTAAAAAACAAGAAAAAACTATCTATAATAACTAAATATATCGTAACACCGAATATTTCGTTATTTTTTCGATGTTTTTGGTATATCGCGATATTTTGATACATCGAAAATACCAATATCGATAAACCCATATTAAACCCCGATATTTATCGATATTTCGATATACCGCAACAGCCTAATTTATTGCAACCATATTTAAAGGACAATACCATGACCAGCGGTCATCTGAACCCAATGCATAACAATCAATTATTAAATATATACTGCAAACAGAAGTACGTACACACAAGGAATGCAAAGTACTTACATCTTTGACAGATCTACCCATATCTAGCGCAACTTTTTCCCATCTACCAGGTGTACCACCAGGATATTTTACCATCAAGCGGGATAACTTCGACAGATCTTCTTGGTTCCATTCACCATCCTACAATGAAACACGTAGGTTTTCAGCAAAAGACTGAATTCTAACTAAAGATTGACATCAGAGTTTTTCTCTGTGAAACTTGCGTAAAAAAAACCAAAATGTGATGTATCTGATATTTTTAACAGAAAATATTTTTGCTGAGAAATTTTTTCTTTAATTCATCCCCTATATGTTTTGATAAGTGCTTTCAACACTTGACTATACTAGAATATTGAGATCTCGGATATTGAGAACTAGAATATTGAGATCTCGGACACACTAACAGTCAAACTCACATATTTTTAATGCTCATAGTTTTAAGCAAAAAATATATATTCCTGCACGTACTTTACTCTGACTAAATATTCCTCCATTAGCGATGTCTGTCGAGTTGGAATGATTACCATCACCACGTGACAGCTGCGCGGTCACAGGCGCGCCTTCCCATTGAGCAACCTCCGCGGAACTAATTCCAGGATGTTGAACGCGTTGACGTCGTGGTTTGGGTTTCAGTGCATTCTCTTCAAAAAATACACTAAAACGGTGAATAATCACAACTAGCTACTTCTTCAACACTCACCACAGAAGAAAGAGAATCTTACTACCATTCAATTTTGCTAAAATGCTGACAGTAACTGTCAGCAAGCTTGAGTGGATACTTTATTTAAACTACTGCCCATACCAAGCTCTTTTTGTCTCTCAATTCTTTCTTTCTCATCCAGTTTGTGCTGTTCTATCTTCTGTTGTCTGGCTAATTCCCTTCTCAAGCGAGCTTGCTGTATGGATGAGACAATGAATCGATAAATAACGAATGGCAAGAGATCCCAAAATGTTGGTTTGCGAACTCCTTCCTCATCTAAACAATTGTACATAAAATAACTAAAGTTGTTTTTAAACTTTAGTGAACGTCAATCTGGGATTACGTAACAATGGATAAATGACAGTATGGGTGTAAAACTCAGTGTAGGTGAACGGCAAGTATGGGTGAACGGCAGTGTGGGTGAACGGCAAGTATGGGTGAACGGCAGTGTATGTGAACGGCAAGTATGGGTGAACGGCAGTGTGGGTGAACGGCAAGTATGGGTGAACGGCAGTGTAGGTGAACGGCAAGTATGGGTGAACGGCATTGTAGGTGAACGGCAAGTATGGGTGAACGGCAGTGTGGGTGAACGGTAAGTATGGGTGAACGGCAGTGTGGGTGAACGGCAAGTATGAGTGAATGGCAGTGTGGGTGAACGGCAAGTATGGGTGAACGGCAGTGTGGGTGAAGTCGCTATGGGTGAACAGCAGTGTAGGTGAAAGGATGATAGCGTGTGGGTGAAGGCCAGTGTGGTGACAATGACGGTAAACGGCGGTGTGGGTGAATGAATATGTTGGCAAAAGCTTCACAAAAAACAAGCCTTACAATGGGGTCATACGTGTAATCCTACCTAACATGTCTTCAACTTGAACATCATTTGTTACACCTCCTTGCTTTAGAAATTTCCTATTCCTTTTCTCCTTCTTCTTTTTGAACGATGTCAAAACTTCGTCCTACATATAGAAGGTCATGAATAATGTCATACTATCAATTAGCGATGGCGTTTAATGTAACTAATGAAAGTCATATACATCCACAAACCTTGTTAAAATATGGTTTACAAACAAATTTTAAGAAATGATTTTGTCACAGATTGCAGGGGTTGGGGGGGACGACCGTATATTCATTAAAGACACCGTTTGACAATACTGATAAATTTCAAATATGAATTAAACACCTTACCAGTTCAAACTTTCTTTCGAGATATACTGACCATGCAATAATAAAGTGACCAACAGTAAAAATGATGAAAATGAAAAGTAAAAACTCCAAGAAGCCCATCTTTCGGACACGCCGATAGTAAAACACAGGCTGTCTCCAATCCGGTAATCCATTCTTTAGTATAGCATCGTACCTAGAAATATACCAATGTCGTCATAACTTAATTCTCAAGCAAGCAATGTAGTACAGCTTCGAAACAAATGCGTTCGATCATAACTGTTTCTAAAGCTGCTTATTTAAATATTGATGGATAAGAAATGGAAAGCTGTTATTTTTTTCTCGAATATTCAAACTGTAAAGGTTCTGAAATGGAATTATTCTTCACAACTACTACCAACTGCAAAGGTTTATTAAATGGAACTGTTCATCCGAACTACCAACTATAAAGGTTTATGAATGGTGAAATGTAGAGCTGTTCTTCCCAACTACCAAACGTAAAGGTTTATGAATGGTGAAATGTAGAACTGTTCTTCCCAACTACCAAACGTAAAGGTTTATGAATGGTGAAATGTAGAACTGTTCTTCCCAACTACCAAACGTAAAGGTTTATGAATGGTGAAATGTAGAACTGTTCTTCCCAACTACCAAACGTAAAGGTTTATGAATGGTGAAATGTAGAACTGTTCTTCCCAACTACCAAACGTAAAGGTTTATGAATGGTGAAATGTAGAACCGTTCTTCCCAACTACCAAACGTAAAGGTTTATGAATGGTGAAATGTAGAACTGTTCTTCCCAACTACCAAACGTAAAGGTTTATGAATGGTGAAATGTAGAACTGTTCTTCCCAACTACCAAACGTAAAGGTTTATGAATGGTGAAATGTAGAACTGTTCTTTCCAACTACCAAACGTAAAGGTTTATGAATGGTGAAATGTAGAACTGTTCTTCCCAACTACCAAATGTACGTAAAGGTTTATGAATGGTGAAATGTAGAACTGTTCTTTCCAACTACCAAACGTAAAGGTTTATGAATGGTGAAATGTAGAACTGTTCTTCCCAACTGCCAAACGTAAAGGTTTATGAATGGTGAAATGTAGAACTGTTCTTCCCAACTACCAAATGTACGTAAAGGTTTATGAATGGTGAAATGTAGAACTGTTCTTCCCAACTACCAAACGTAAAGGTTTATGAATGGTGAAATGTAGAACTGTTCTTCCCAACTACCAAACGTAAAGGCTTATGAATGGTGAAATGTAGAACTGTTCTCCCAACTACCAAACGTAAAGGTTTATGAATGGTGAAATGTAGAACTGTTCTTCCCAACTACCAAATGTACGTAAAGGTTTATGACTTATTGTTTAAAGGCTAAAGGTTTATGGTTTATGAAGTGGAACTACCTTTACAGTTGTCAAATATGCTGTTCACAACTACCAACTGTAAAGGTTTATTAATTATAAAATGGAACTGTTCTTAACAACTACCTTTTCCTTTTCTCATCGTCCTTTAAAACCTCCGCAACAGAGACAAGCTACAAATCAAAATAACAAATATTACACAGAGAACCAATTCGATAAAAGTATCTTAGAAGAGCAATAGTTTACAAAGGATAAATCTTAAAGTGGACCATAGTTTTTGTCACGATGAATTTTATATCGCAATGTATAGTTAAAGATAACATGGCTCCATCAGATGAAGTCTTTGTGAATACGTAATTTTAGCGATTTAAGTTATTGTGCTATACAACATTTTAACGTTCGTTCGTTCCATGAAAAAAAAAAGGGAAAATCACAACAAACCCGACGAAATTTTTCTTCAGCATGTGGATCGTCGCTTCGATCTGGATGTAGTTTTAGCGATAATTGACGGTATGCACGACGTATCTCTGAAGATGTTGCATCCTAAAGAATGACTAAAAGTTAGAAAACTAACAGTAAAAGTAACGTATTTTACAAGAATGAGTGCAGTATATGCAAAGGTAGTTTAGACACACAAACAGGGCGATGAAAACATCATAAAAAATATTTCTGTCAGTTAAGTTGCAGTTCTTCATAAGTTACATTATAATTTACATCAGTGTTATCACCAGCATCATTAATAGCATCAGATTTAAAAACAATAACGTCAGTTTTATCACGAGCAACTTCAATTTTATGTAGTGTGGGTGAACAGCCGTGTAGGTGAAATATATAAAACCTGACAAGTATGTACAACCATAACAAATATGTACAACCTGAGCAAACTCTGAAGAATTCATATAAGACTTCAAATAAATTAACCCTGATTCCTATTAAAACAAGCTTCAGCTGCGTCAGAAAGTTTCCGTGTTTGAAAATTCATAAATTCTTCGTGTGAAAATGGTAGCACTTTATTTTTTGTGATTTGAGTTTTTTTCTTTATTGTAACGGCGAAGTCTTGGTTTAAAAGATGAACTCTGAAGAATTCATATAAGACTTCAAATAAATTAACCCTGATTCCTATTAAAACAAGCTTCAGCTGCGTCAGAAAGTTTCCGTGTTTGAAAATTCATAAATTCTTCGTGTGAAAATGGTAGCACTTTATTTTTTGTGATTTGAGTTTTTTTCTTTATTGTAACGGCGAAGTCTTGGTTTAAAAGATGAAGAATTTCATGCAGATGCAATATGACAGTGGTTAAATTTCTTATTACTAAACTTAATTACTGCTATCTTGCCGATGTTCCCAGGCAAAGCATACCATTTCTAAGTAATAATGGTACCTGCCCTGCCAGTGAAAAAACTCCCTCAAACGTCACTGATAACGGAGAAGTCGAGGGGACGAGTAGCGGATCCAGGGGGGTAGTCAAAATACATTGCTGAAAATATATTTCCATTTAAAAATATTTTGGAGCAAATCCCATTGGCAGTATTTTAGTCTTAAATGTTCTTTCTAAATTTTAACCAACAGCATTGAGGAAAAAGTCTTTTGAATGTAAAATGAGCTTCTATAATTTGACCAATCCTAGATTCCATTGGGAAGGATATACAAAGTGTCATCATATGTCCTTGTGTCATTACAAATATTGACTGATTTTTCAGATATTAAACAAAGACTGAAGCAAAGGTTTTTATAAAAAACTCAACAAATGTCAAGGGAAAATGTTTCAATGAATTGAAAAGATTGTGTTGCATTTTTACTTTGGTGAGAGCAAGTGTTTTGTCTCAGAGATACAGTATTGTATGTCTTTGGTGAGAGCAAGTGTTTTGTCTCAGAGATACAGTATTGTATGTCTTTGGTGAGAGCAAGTGTTTTGTCTCAGAGACACAATATTGTATGTCTTTGGTGAGAGCAAGTGTTTTGTCTCAGAGACACAGCATTGTATAAAATTGTCACTCTCAGACTAATTTATCAACTGCTCTTAAGGCCTTGTGTAGTTTACCCACATTTACTATCAATTTTATTAACCTAGAATGTATATTCCTTTGCAAACAATACAACTTTTAAATTTATCAACATGACATGTATAATATTTAGATATAATAAGAAACAGACTTGGTGCAAGACTTGATGCTATCTGATTCATAAATTACAATACTAATTTTTAATTTGTCATCAACAAAACCCTTATATTTTTGCTGTAATTTTGTCAGAATTCAACATTTAATTTGCTACACTAATCATAACCAGAATTTTTGTTTGGAGCCAAACATTGCCTCCCATGAAATACTATATCTCCTCTGGTTTTGATGGACAGCAGCAATTTTATATAATGATTTTGTAAATGCAATAATCCATGCTAAGCTTGTGAAAAAAACTTAAAAAATTGGGCATTTTTTAATTAACCTAAGGTAAGGTTTTGTTATGACCAACAATAGTTTGGGATAGAGTTCATTTGCTGATGTAAAGTGTGCCACAGCTGACATAACTTCCTAATCAACAGATCTAATTAGAATAAAAACATAGTCATAATTTAGTCAAGTGGATTCGAGTAAGATCATAAAGGAAGACGAGACTGGGGGCTACGGCCTCCACACCAATAATTTTGTAGGATTGTTTAATTTGTCTCCAAATCCTCGCTTATTTCCAATTTATTCCCCCAACCCCCAGCCACCCACACACACACAACAATAAAAAATATGCTCATTATTTCTCGTGAATGGATCTTGAAAAGTGACAATATTAGCGAAAAATTTCAATACTTGTAAAGATTTTTTATTGGCAAATACATTTATATGCATATTTAAAATTAAATATGTAATTATTTGAGCTTAGTGTTGAGTATCACATATTTTACCTTTGTGAATCATATAGACTGTAATAGACATAAACATTTTATTATTTGTAATAGTTTTCCCCTAAGTTCGGAAAGTAGTATGTTAAGTATCGTTATTTAAAAAGAACATCAAACTATGTAATTCACTAACTTAGCAACTGACCTTTCCAACTTCCAAAACATCGTAAAAATTCATTTTTATATCTTCAACCATATCAAACAATTGGAAGTCGATGTCATCCCAGGCTTTGATAATTCCGTTGTAAGAGGTCAGGATGAAAAGGAAAAATATAATGCAGTTCATTTTCATTAGAATCATTCACGATAGCCAAAATGAGATTAATAAACTAGGTAAGTTACACGTTACACGTTTCATACATTTTGTTTTATTACTTCATTAGTAATAAATTTCATTGTCTTTCTTTGATTGCGGACTCGAAGTGCTACAGCGGTTTTCTACATGCGATAATTTATATAATTAAAATGAAGATAATGAAAATAAATTTGGCATGACGATGGTCACTAGTCACAGAGTCATTTAGTCTTTGCCTCTTTGGAACTACGCATAAATACAGACCATAAAGTCTTCATGCAATGTGAGAAGAAAAACACGCTTGGGAGGCCAAAATCGGTTTAATTTTTGTGCGTCGTTGCCATCGTGACAAACGTCTGGCAACGACTCTATTGTTATAAATTGAATTTTGACGGGCAATGATTGATTCATGGTCTCAGTTACTGATTTTGGCTTATATAAAAATCCAATCATAACATCTAGATCAAAGACTTCAATGTAAAAACAAATCAGATAAGCTGATTTTGATTCAGTCCGCTTCCTAACCACACACCAATTTAATTAAAAGGTTGTCAAAAAGAATAATCCTCCACAAAAGATGACATTTGTCTTCTTTGCATAAGAAAGGGAAACTTATATTCTTCTGCCAACTAGGAAACTGTATAAATGTTTTAATTTATTGAATGAAAATGAATTCAACAAGTCGTGAATTAGAAAACTTCAAACTATAGATGCTGCCAAACAGTTTTTATCGGCATTCAAAAAATTCGTAAATTTTCGAAAATGATTGTTGTACGTTGTACGCAAGAGACATCTGAGAGCACGCAATTAAAGAACAAATGTTGAGGCAAAGTTTTAAATTAGATCGGCAATTTTTCATAGCATGTGTCACACTTACATACAAATGTATTTTCCAAGATTCTTAATTTTCTATATCAGATTTCCATTGGCATCTAGTTATAAATCATCAAATACAGTTTTTCCCATGACTCTTGTCACTGAACGTGTTTTGCCAACAATCTCGGGCTTCGAGTTGTTTATTCATCAAAAACGGCAAAAAATCGTTTACAAATTTTTTTCGACTCGTGAAAGGACTCAACAGAAACCCTTGCTATAAGTTATTTGCAATAAAATACTTTTCGGCATATAGTTGTTTTACATTAATTGATTTAAATTGAAACCATTTCAAGTTCCAACCCACTAAATATTTACCAAATTTTCCTCAATTTGCGGCTAATTGTCGCGAAGCCAATGAGCCACTTACAGAAACACTGTTTGCTGTAATTGTGTTTCAACGCATGACTCCAAATTATATTCATGAATGTTCTGAATATTGTTTCACCGTCCTGCTAGCCTCATGATATTTTGACGTCAAAAAATCGATCAGAAAACAACAAAAAAACCTGCGAGAGAATGGTATTTCTAGAAGCTCTAAATTACCAAAGAAGTTTTTACGGAACATTATCTGATGCTTCGAGTCGAGAAATCAGCAACGAAGCGTCAGCAACTAATTAAACATTGCAGGACGAAATGTTATGTGTTAAGTATAAACTATTTGATAGACGGGCTTGTTGCTCTCTAATTGAGTTATAACCAATTTGATTTTTCCATCAATTTTTGTGCAGGCTGTTCAGACAAATATAGGAGCAGTACAAATGTAACTTCGATGAGATCGACAATGAGTCGATGACGCTCCATTTCAGTCCTCGTCATTCGTCATAGTATTTTGCCCAAAATCAACATCTTGCATTATTATACTAAAGTGGAAGAAAACTAGAGATGATCACTGATGCGCCGTATTTTGATTTGTGAAAAGAAAATTTTGAATTTCTTGGTGATATATCAAAGCTCCTTTTTGATTTTATCGTGATATAAATACGAGATTTATTATGTAAACTGACACAATATCGATATTTCATGTCTGGTAATGATTACGCCGACTGTAGAAAATCTACATAAAGGTGACAGGTACAGGACGACATGGTTCATTCATTTATTTGTATGCTAATTAAAATTAATATTTAGATCTATTAACATTATGTAAAAGCTTGCATGTAATTTATGTGTATGTATCATTTCATCAACAAACACTCTTGTTTAGCAATACATAAATAAATGATTCGAATGTTTTGCATGTGTGAACGAACTTTCAGCACTTGAAATGAGTCGGTCAAAACACGGTGCAACAATTTAGAAGTAAATTTAAAACCAACAAGTCCATTAAAATATAGATTGAGAAAAGTATTTTAGTCTTAGATTTCCTTTCAAATAGGCAGAACGTGGCAAGTGTGATATTCACATAACTGAATCAGGTTAGTAGAGCATAAAAAGTTTTTCAATTATTGCATTAAGCGTTTTCGCCATGGACTCAATAAACAATGAAAAATGAATTTTTTGTTTAATTGTTGCTGAGCAGTCTCGTTTCTGTGCGCGTGCATTATGAATGCTGATTGGCGGACAGACTGATCCTGTCGGCAATAAAAAGAGCAATGAGCGGGTAGAGGACAAGTTGAACTGCAAACTCATATTCAGCAAGAATAGGATATTTAATAGATAGTGGAAAGAAAAGATCAGAAAAGTTGTGATGAAAATGAATTGTGCAAAAGAACTGTTCGCTCAAACTAATCTGAACGAACGGTTTATGGACGATTTCACAACGTACAATGGACGAAGGAAACGAAAAAATAATGGTAATATCCATGAGACGATCATTCAAAGACACGCCGCCAATATGAGAGAGCGAAAACGAATGCAAAGCATTAACGAAGCTTTCGAAGGTCTTCGACATCATATACCTACATTACCCTACGAAAAAAGACTTTCCAAAGTAGATACATTACGTTTAGCTATCGGTTACATTGGATTTCTTACTGATATTATCAATTCTGATGTTCCACAAAACGAACGTTTTCGCAATCATCGCAGATTTGAGCCAAAGAAAACAGTTATGATTCGACATAGAAGCGCAGGTAAGATCTTGCATTGTACGCATTTTATCAACAACATCTCTTTTGTAAATCTATCTGTTGATCAGACAGGACGTATAAATTTACAACAAAAGCATGAAACATGCAAAAAGAAACAATAGGGTTATTTAGAAATAAAAGCGTTTTTCTTTCCATAAAAACATTTCATCTTGATGTGGAGAAAATTTGAAGTATTTTAGTATTATTCATACTCCAAGCTTCGACGTTATATTGTTTTGTCGAAAGAATATTTTGGCGCTATTGTTCAAATTTATTTTCACATTAGCCGAACCATAGATCGGTGTGTAAAAGTTGTCTACGTTATTGTTTATGAATTAATCTTTTAATCAGTTTTTAATTTTATTTTTCATTCAGTTATCAACAATGAGGTTGGCTTGCCACCTTTACGAGGGCATTCTCTATCGTGGACTGACAAGTCAAAATCGAAACAAAACACCACAATGACAGGAAAATTGTGGACTCCAGAGGATCCACGCCAAAACAGTACTTGTCCAACGCTGTTTCAATCGGATTGTCACTAGCAATGATTTAATTGGATTGTCACCACCTTTGAATCCAGTAACTAATTGACTAAAAACAGACAGAGGCTCAAACAGCAAAATTAGCGAATATGTTCAAATAAAAAAAACGCAGGATATCTTTTTCGCACATAGCTAGCTACATAGAAAAAATGAAATCAATAAAGTATGATTTGATGAACCATTGTGCGAAATCGATGCTTCAACTTTGCTATTCTCTCACTTTAAAGAGCATATTGAATCAACACACTTGGTTAACAGGTTCATCGAAACATTAGAACTTTAAAGATAAAGGGGTTTTACATAAATCTGTCATCACCTGCACGATTTTCCAGGCGTTACTTCGAAAGTTTCAAGTGCCGATTTTTTTTACCGAGTGTCACACTCCAAAGAAAGTAAATCTTTTAAAAACAAAGAATAAATTTTTCATCGATTATCTTATTGAGCATTGCTTAATTTGTAAATCTGATGAAATCTTAGAATCTCTTTTGAAAACTTTAGACAATAGAAAAAAGTCAAAATAATGCAATCATTGTCTGCTGCTTTCCTTATTGAAATTAACTGAGTTGTTATAATTTGTAAATGTCTTTGGAATCTGTATTGCAAACTTTTGCTTGAAATTATAAATTTCTTAGCGTAATGATAGACGTGCAGACTTGAATGTCATTTCGTCGTTTTTACTTCCAAAACAACGCTTCCAATGATTGATCAAAGAAAACATGAATCTCATTATTTGTGAAGGAAGTAGGAAATCCTGATAACGAACAAGTAATAGGATACTGCCAAATTCAAGACAGTCAACAGGGACATTTTACTACTATTTATTCCTCATAGGAAAAGTTGGGTTTTTGGGGAGGAGGATTCTTATATGATAATTAGGGACAAATCAAACATTTCCTTAACACAGTTTTGATCTCAAAAGTTATAAATGAACGTTTTTGAATAATTTTCTTTCAAAGTAAAAAACATGTGCATCATCGTGAAGCCAAATGCCCTTGAATGCGTCCCTCATTGTCCAAGCAATTTTCATAATTACTTGTCCTGAGCCCTCTTTGAAAATCAATTTTAATAGAGATTGCCTGGTATAAGTATCTGTGTATTAGTTGATAATTCTCCAACAAAAACCATTCTTCCCGTGGTATATTTTTCAATCATCATCTCTTGGTGAAACTTGTGTTCTCTCTTGCGTTGCTTAGGTGGACAGTACATGCGACAACGTGGCATCAAAGGAGAAGTTTTCATTGAGCTCGTCTAACCACGTTGCTAGAAGCATTAACTTTTCTTTGTTTGATCAATTCAAATGGACAGAGCAGATGTTCTGGGCGCATGAAATTTTAAATGATAATGAGTTTAAGCATGTGACAATCATGAGTATTTTTGCCTACTTTACAATTTTCAGTAAAGTGAAATGCCCTTTCTTCGATCAGAAACCATTGGAATTTGAGGTACTCCCATGACTGAAGTTCAAATTCCGGCTATCTCCACCTTTGCGATAATGTAAAACTCCTAATACTGTGAGACAAAATAATGAAAAGTCAATTAAGATTTATTTTCGTTGCATTGTCTCCTGGCAATGTCAACAGTGCTCATGTTTCTTTTGAAATGGCCATCAATGGCTCCAAATCCTCTAATAGAAACGCCCAGTTTTACCTAACTCCTCTCATTGACAGTTACAAGAAAAGAAACAAGTAAAAATATTTTCCGAATTGGAGTGTTAACTGAAGATGATCGAATAAAAGCAAAAAAAATGCATTTCACACAGCAACATTCAACGTATAACTTCTACAACAATTAATGATAGTGTTAAGGCAATTTGAATTCATGAATAATTATAGTTAATGTACATTAGAGAAGATCAATAATTATTTCTCTCATCTTCAGTTCCACCAAAGTTAAGCGCTGAAAATTTGCAAATATTTGAGTAAAAGAATAAAAAACTACCAAAACAGGCTCGAGGGAATACTGAATTATCTGCGCATGCGCCGAAATTGATTTTTACAGCGAAAACTGATGGGCAACAGTTTTTAACCCAGCTAACAGCTGCTTTATCGGTTGCTAAATTAAATCGATTTCTTTGAGGTTTTTTGTTTTATCTGGCTTACATTACGACAGCCATTGTTGACCAGGTTTTGATCCCATATAGTAATTATTTATATGCATTAAAACGTCAAAATCTTTAAAAACTGACAATTTCGCATTGTATGTTGTCCAAGTTAATTACAAAAATCTGGCAACTTTATTGAAATGAAATCGCAGCTTTGCATCTGTGCTTGTCAGTTTTATAAACGGTATCTTATTACTACAAGAGGTATAAATGTATTAACTCGATTAGATCGCATATTGTCTCCGATTAGGAGCGATACCCTCTAACCTAAGAAGAAAAGTTACAATAGCAACTGTTTTAGAATTATGAATTTAAGAATTATCAATCCAAGTTTTTTACGAACGTACTTATAAACTTTTTATGTAATAAATCTTATACTTTGTTGTTTTTAATGAAAATATGTTGTAGCTATTAGCTACACGTATCGATTACATACGATTACGTACAAGAAAAACATGCAAGCTCTCATTGAGCACAATGAAAAGCGTTGAATAACATTTGGGGAAAAAAAGACGAATATTGCCGACATTCGGACACAATTTATACGTGTCTTATTTTTCATTAGCTAACTGTCTTGTTTTATAATAAAACTGGCAGATGTTCTTCTTGTTTAGGTAGGTATTTTTTCAAATGTCTTGGCGTCAAAGACGTCTAACTTTTAAAGGGAAAATAACTACGATTATGAAAAATAAGTACGAAAAATAACTACGATTTTAACTAGCATTCGATATTTTTTTGAAATTTACCGAGGACCAAAAACGAGCAAAATTGGGGGAGTCGCATTTGCCTTCTTATCAAATGAGAAAAAATTAAAACCTTGAAGCCTAATCAAATTTTGAGTTCTTGAAAAAATATTAAATCGCTTTAAAGGATACTCTAAACGAAAGGAATGTTGCTTTTTTACTAAGCAATTTCATGTGCTCTTTTATAAGCCCTCTTTTCTTGATGTTATAGCCAATGGTTTTATATTGTTTTATGAACACCAATTACATATTATTTAACTGGTCAATTCTCGGACCTAAAGAGAATTTTACAAGTCAACATAATATATTATCAAACTATTTTAAAAAAAAATGTAGTGACAGCCGTTAGAATGCCAACAAGTTTGATAATCGAGACAGTTTTACAATCAAATGGATCAAGATTAGTGGGAATCCTACCGAGTTTGTCAAGTTTTGTACTTGTTTTCAACGAGACACGAATTATTTTCATAGTTACAGAAGATGTACACTTTACCAGTTGTAATTTGGCGCAACCTTCTTTATTATAGCTATCATCCAGTGTTTTGCTTAAACGACGTAAATGGTATTTCTTCACAATAACTTAGTTTAACTCGTAATCTTAGTTATATAAATGTAGTATTGTAAATGATGATTTGGTGAAAATCTTGTCATTAAGCAACAGGGAGAGCGTTGTCTCTAGGTTTTACTTGTGCTTTATTTTAAACACATTAAGAGTTTCAACATCCAGACTCAACAAACAAAAAATTGATGTAGTTTTTCTAAAGAGTGGGCGAACATGTCTTTGCTGCATTCTATGCAACAATTGCTTTATAGTTAGCACTGTTATATTAAAGTTATGTCATTTGTTTTCAGAAAATTTACTGTAGCGGAAAAACAATTACTTTCTAAGCAAAATGCATGTGCACAAACAATATATGCTTGCTAAACAATATAATATGTCACTTCAAAAACATTGCTTAAAATATTCTTCTTCACAAGCCTTCCTAAAATATATTGAGCGTGAGAATGAGCAGCTTGTGAAAGATTGGCTACTTGAGAAAACAAAAACCTACATACCTTTCTAATCCGTAAAGCAATGACAAAATCCCCACTTTCATCAGTTTTATGCAAAAATGAAAAAATCTACCTGCTTGTGTCTCATCTTAACTTGTGATACAGAAAACCACGTTTCTTCACGCCCTGGCTGTTTTCGCTCATTTTCTCTAGAAGGATTTAAACTTTAAATGCAAAACTAAAAATTCTGATTTCTGCACATTAGAAATTTAAAAACTCGTAGCTATAAATAGGGTCATACATACATAACCTTTTTAAACAAGAAAAGGCATACTATAGTAGCTTAGCTTTAAAGCCTGCTGGTATAGATTCAAATTCAATGTTTGAAAAAAATGGATCAGATGATTTCAATTTTAATGAAAAACAGCGCAAATGTATAAATATACAAAACAGTCATCGTTTCGCTACTATTTCAGAAATGGATGAATTCATTGAGTAAGTGAATGATTTAATTTTGACCACGAATTGTCTTGATTACTTCGAAAACAGGAATTGCATGCATCTACAGAAAACAAACAAGATTTTTTTTAGCTAACTTTTATTTTAAGTTTTCTCCATTCCCCTTTTTGAATATATGAATGTTTACCTGAATGCACACAAATATACAGCTGTATGCATTGATTTTTAATGCAAGTTTTAAAAAGGTATCAATATGCATGCTGAATAAATTTTGGTGGGAATGCGAACACCTGAGATCGTGCCACTTATGTCAATACAATTAATAGGAAAACAAGAATCTTATGGATGGTAATTATGAAACTTGTTAAGATACATTTGCAGTTTCACTTGATGATTAAATATATTGCAATTTGATTAAAAAAAGACAATCGATTAACCACATCTAGTATACAGTTTATAGGCAGGGGCAAAGATAGAACGCAAATTGGGTGGGGGGAGGTTGAATATTTATAAATTAAGCTCTGCCCGACTGACTTCTTGTGAAATTACAATCGCTTTCAAAACAAACCAGTCGGGCAAAGCTGAATATGTGAATATTCACTCCCCAATTCGCGTTTTAGCTTTGACTAAAAGAACAATTTATTTTGTATTACATGAGAAATGTGTATTTCATGTATTACATGAGAAAGTGTGTATTTTATACACTATTACATATTTTTGTATTACATGAGAAAATGTGAGTGAAAAATTGTGATCAGTAAAAAGGTTGCAGGCTCCCACACATTACTTTTTGCTGTATTTCATAAACGTTTGAACTTTATCTTGAGTTTAAGAGGGTGTATTATGATTTTTGTATAACATATTTGCCTTAGTTTAAATAAAAATGACTTTTTCCTTACATAAACACACACCCCCTTCCAAGCAAGTGTCGAGTTTTTATAATGCATGGACAATCACGAACATCATATTTTTCCCATATTTCACTAACACTAAGTAAAATGTCCGTATATTTTGCTAAATATCAATCGAAACCATTCCAAAAGTAAACTTAACTTGTGATAAGTTTCCAAACATGAAGAAAAATAATATTTAATATGTTATGTTCATTTGAGTAAAATTATTTTCGATTTATAATTATGTTACTCACCAGATGAGATTTCTCTTGTTCAAAATATGACTTGAACGTCGTGGATAAAGGAAAAAACCCCACTAAGTGCCGACACAAAAATGACACACGGCAGAAATTTTCACGATAATCCAATTTTCAATGTATTGACTGTATTGTAGCGAAACGTTGACAGTGAATAAAGTTACGATAAAATATAATCCCATTTAGAGTTCGATTGACATCAGTAATTCCTGATAACTTCTAATTTTCCTTCCTTGCTCTGAAATTGCATCTGACAAACTTAAGCAAGAATTGCCTTTGTCTAAGTAATGTCGACCTCTTATTTTGCGCGATTGCATGCACAAGCTTTTAACTTTTGATTAAACTAATTAAGCCTCTGATCAGCTTGAGAATTTTCTGTGGGAATATCAGTGTCTGCTTTGTAAATCTGCCGAATTATTGTAATTGTATGAATATAGCTATAAAGCATACGAAGCACTGAACTTTGGAAAGTATATTGCAATAAAACCTGTAAAAGACAAAACGTTAAAACAATCTTATTATTTGACACTACCTGAACAGAATTTTAGCTAATTTATTTTTATTTACTTGATGTTTGCACTTGAAAATAAAGACTTCGCAACAATACATTTACATGGAGTGTATGAACAGCAGAAAGGACAATATATTTTTTTATAAATATATCTTTCTCACAAATTCAGTTGTTGTTTTACAGCCAATCTTTATGGGATCTTCCAAGCAATGAAATTCGCCCACACTGGCTGCACACCACAATAACCTTGATTAAACATTCTTTTGCATCAGGCCTCCAACATGGTTGGCATGAAAAATATAAATTGTTACTAGTTAGATCAAAAACACGTCTAGTTCATTAGGTCAAACAATAACTGGAATTCTTGTTAATTTCCTTGTTTTAACACAGTGGAATTAAATTCAATATTGCATACGGTTTAACATGAACTCAAGTTTTAAACAGGCTTTTAAACAGGCGCCTGATGAGCTTGTATCGTGAAAGGTTGCTGTGTACAAAAGTAAACCTCATCCACAGAAATAATATGTTAAGGTTAAGTATTGTCAGCCACACGTTCAGTTTGTCCCGATATGTAAATTTCAGAACACTTTGTTGGTTCTTTTCTTTAGAAATTTATTATTTTTGAAATAAGTGAAAATAAAAAGAAAGCAAAAAACGACAAAAAACAGGAGATAATCGATAATTTTCTAAGATAATATTTTTCGATGTCGATAACACATCTGCATAACTTTCTATCTTGATAATAAAAAACTGAGCTTCTATTGGAATTCACATTACTCCAGCAATTCGACGCTTTTTTATTTAGGGATTTTCTTCACACAAATTACAACCGTATTTTAAAAATATAACACCAATAAAGGTATGACAATATTTTGATTTAAGCAATGGGAACAATAGATTTAACCGCCTGTTATATATGAGTAACTATGTTGCTGACACAAGTAACTAAATACAAAAATAAGTTACTTATGTTGCTAACACAAATAACGTTAACTGCATGCCTGTAAAAATGAGTTACTTTGTTGCCAACACAAGTAACCGCATGTAAAATTAAGTTACAACGATTGTCTATACATAATTAAACATTTGTGTTTGTGTTTAATTTATTGAACTTTTCTAATAATGGCAACCAATCTTGGGAATTCAGTGCATTTTTGTGATCTATAGAACAACGAGTTGGATAACCATAGCCAGCCTTTCAACTCAAAGTGCACCGAGTTGCACATGCAACAAACTGAACAAAGTTGTCCTTCTACAGAAGCTTATTAATATAACGTCACAGACGCTTTTGAACCAATAATAGTACAATATTTCAATAGAAATATTCAATCCTGTGCACGCACGAAGCACTTAAAAAATTTCTATAAAAAACAATTCATACAAATTAAAAATCTCTATTGTAACTCATCATCACAATAATTAACCTCAAGTATGTTTTATACAACAGATCATATATTCAAGTCTCCATTAGTGAAGAATTCAGATTTGCTTTGTAAATTTAAAATTTTTTCTATTTGCTGGTGCCACTCAATAATCAAAACATATTTGACCACTTGAGCAAGATTAACTTATTTTGTCAACAAAGACATAAGACATTCTACCACAAGAATGACCAAATTGTTGTGAACTGCGTCTGTGAGTGCAAGATTAAAACTTTCATATAGCTGCAAGGGAGGAGCATATGCCCATGATTAGTTTTATAGTATCAAAATAGTGAACATTTCTTGGCCTTTGAAAACCGTACGATCAGGACTCTGCAGATTTCTTGTTAAAGTTTATCTAGTGTAGACGCAAATCAAATCAGCTGTATTTTTCACTTCAAATTTTTTTATCAAATCGTCACGCATCGCACGAAGTTGAGTAAGCTTGAACAACGCAGCGATCAACAAACATCAAAAAACATTCACTCAACAAAACATGAGAACCTATTTTTTCATACCTTCTTAGGTACGCGTACGTAATCTTTTTAAGGCATTCGGTCATTGTGTTTAACAGTTTAGTCAGTACTGAACATCACCACTTTTAAGGGATTAAGATTATTTGTTTTGAATTTTTTCACTTAAAGCAAGAAAACAGCCGCACACTTGACGCTCAATAATGCGTTTAAGTTTACGGTTGTCAAGAAAGAGCTCAAGTCCATCAAGCTGTTGAGCTGAGCCGATTAAATAGGAAAATAATATGATTCCAATCTGAGGAATGATTAGTCACTTTATTTACGATAACAAATGATTAAAAAATCCCGGCCGACACGAATGAAGTTGGACTTTAATTTAACCATGCAAGCTCAATGCAACTTGGCGTTCACAAAAGAATCGGCTTGATTTTAATGATTCCTTGTATTTAACTGTGATTTGAACTAACCACAACAAGTGTTTCTACCCAACCCAACAATTACGTGGGTACCCAGTAAAAGAAAGTACTGTACCAGACAGTATAAACATACCGCATTCATATTTGTCATCTGAACAAAGGTTTGAATAAATGTAATCATTATCATTAGGAAAACAAACAGATTTTATCACCAAATAATCACCACAGTAAATAGACTCTAAATTTTTATTTATCGAAAATAATTTTGCCCTTATAAATCTGAATTCCACATTGCGCGCTGAAATTTATGTCTATTTTTCATATGGGCTGAGAAGGCCTGCTGTTTCTTGCTCTTCTGCATGCATGCCCCCATTATGCATATCTTAGTAACTTTGACTTTGTAGATTACTGACAAAAAGCATACAAAGCTTTCTCTCACAATGTATACAAGTACATTAGCATAAAAAGAATAAAAATATGCAGTTATTAACATTGATAGCGTTTTGACCTGTGCACCTTTGAGTCCATAGTTCATCGTAATTCATATGAAATATACAGTGCAATTGACTTTTTTTAAATTATTTTCATGAAAATAAAGTCACTATTCATTCCCTATTCACAACTTAGTAAAACTGAGAGTGTGTATAGAAGGAATTTTGTTCGTAAGAAAGGAATCTTTTAAAAAACATGTGTCGCATCTTTCCGACATTTTTTTAATATTTAACTAATTAGCCTATTGGGAACCAGTTTAATTCCAGGGGCGGGGAGCATTTTCCAATGAAGCAAAATCACAGAAATGGAAAAATATACAAAGTGGTGAATTTGAGCTCGATCGTAGAGGCCACACAATAATTTTGCTAATGATCAAAGCGCAAGTTCCTATTTTTGAATTTTGTACAATTCAACTTCAAACGTGCAACTTTCCTCGGGGAAGAAAATGTACCTATGAAGGTTCAATAGATTTGTGCATATATCTTTTTACCATTATAAATAGCTAACTATGGCTGGCTATACTATAATTGCAGCTTAAAAGTGACCATTATAATTTAGAGAGAGGGTGGGTTGGGTGGTGCTTTTGCTCAGACAACAAGAACACAGGAAAATTGTCAATGCTCAATGCGCAAATTATAAAAATTATCAACTCACGACTAGATATAGCCAACCATGTAACAGTTTTGTCCTATTTACGATTTTACAAAACAAGTATAAAACATGTGAAAATTTCGAATTGTTCGCGTTATGAATTACTCGTAAAGTGTATAAAAAGTGATTTATAGATATAAAAAATGCCAAGAATAGAAAAGTACGATAACATCACCAGAAAACATCTTCTGTGTCGTCGATTTCAGGGAAATCAGACGAAGGCGAACTAGATAATAAAAAAGAAGTGTCCATTTTTAACAGTTCCTCAAAATCGCCGTCTGTTGATAAGTCACTGGAGAGCTGGGGCGAGAGGTTTGTGTCAATGCCTTCAAAGTCACTGCAACTTCGACTCCGATCGTCTTCTTCAAGCATATCTTTTAACTGCCGAATGTATCTGATTGCCAGACATATTGTCTCCATTTTCGAGAGTTTAATATGTAATGGATTGAGAAAGTCTGGTAGCCGATCACGAAGTGCGTAAATCGCATCGTTCACGCGTCTCGTGCGATGTCGTTCGCGTTCGTTTGCCCAGCGTCTCTGCTGACTAAGACCAGTAAGACGAGCTTTTCTTCTCCGTTTTTTACGCTGTTTACCATTATCGTCGTTTGAGTTCACTATCAAATCATCATCAATGTCGTCCTTCTCCACTTTCAAAGAAAAATCAAATGCTGCTGACGCATCAAATATACTTTCGGCCATTTTTTGGAATCTCGATGATGTTGTGCTACAAACAAAATGTAAATATTTAGAAACAAAATTTTTACGTAAAATTCTACAAATTTCACACCTCTAAACGACATCTAACTAGTTCAATCAGCCACTATGCCTTCGGGCATTCATTTAAATATTGAAAGGCATCGAACAAGATTGTTCAATATTCGTACTTCAAGTAGAAATCAAACAACACACACTGACCAAAAGCTACACAATTAGGCTATCACGTTCTTTGAACACGATTAAAGACAATCCAACGATGAAATCAACATCAAGAAGACGTTGGTTGAATGAAGTCTGTTGAGCTAGGGTTGAGCACCATGTTCTTTATATGTTGGGTGGTCATTAACAAGGGTAGAAAAATATCTGATTTCAAACATGCCATGGACAAACGATAGTGTGAGAGGTGAGAACACAGATATATCTCAAAGATATGATGACTACAAAAACATACTAAAACCCAGATGACGTGCCAGACATTGCGACGTTTGCTCGAAAGGCTGCCAAACAAGGTATTTCAGAGTAGGGGGTATGTATGTGACTGGATTACGTAAATAATTGAAAAACAAGGGAGCGCCAGCACACCTTTGAAAATTTACGCAAAGAAATATCAAGAAGATTCTTCTTGCACACATATTATGCACAATAGGTTATTTTTAGGTCAATTTGATCAAAATATCATGCAAAATAATGCATATGTGCTTTATTATAGCAATACAACTTCTATCGTTAAGAGAAAGTTAAAATGCACTTATCTATTGAGGAAACCTATTAAAATGAGTGGCGTTTTTCAACAAAGTAATGATGGTGCAGTAACCACGCTGCGCTTTTTAAATTTCATAAAATCATTATTCATTTCTTTTGAAATCGATCCTTGTCATAGTAAAAAAGTACAGAAAAATTGGCATTGCACGATTAAGACAACGAACTAGCTGCAAGCTCACATCTTAATTTTTAAGTAGCTACTTAAGCAAAGCGAGGTATACACGTTCACGTTCGTATACATCATGTCTCAGAATTACCATCACATACATCAATTATTCACAACGTATGTAAAGGAAGACAAAAAACTGTAACAAACTCTCGTATACATCAGACAATACACACATCCTTGTGCCAGCGGTGTTAATTTTAATATGGGAGTTAAAACAAATATGTCGAACAAACAAAAAACAGAAAAGGATATAGGAGTTCTTTATACTCTTGACTATTAACGGTTTGAAAAGTGATAAGAGCTTTCAATTAACGCAATTAATTTAAGGTGTTTCTTGCATAAATAATTATTACGATGATTTCATGACAATCATATCGAGAAACTGCTCAATATACAGAGTTTGTCAACTTTGAAATCTTCGAAGAATACAATAAGACATTCAACTCACGACGGTTGTCGACTGATCATTATTGCTTAAGGACCGATTGTATTAAAATGAAAATATTTGCCTTGGGGTAATATAACTTAAAGTATGCCATGCAACTGTCTTTTATAGAAGTTAATCGAGAAAAGTAATTGAATTGCCTCGAATGAAACAAATACAAAGAAAAATTTGGCTGCACACAACTGTGTTGAATTGATGATTTGCGTAGAATTTTATTTATACATTGCATGTACTTTAGTTTCAGTAACGTGCAGTTGACAGTCAGATCTATTAAATAATCAGCACAAAGTTAGGGGTAAAATGGTTTTAATTAAAATTAAATTAGATCCTTGCTTTAAACTCGTTAACGGCTGGTTATAACAATATGACTGCTTGTCTCGTTTCATACATCATAAATCATTCTCAAGTGAAAGAAACTTATTATTTTTTCTCTAAATGGAGCATCTTCACCGGCATGTAGCTAACTATTTCAATCTACCCGTGAAAAAACTGAAAGAAAGAAAATAGCCTATACTCTACTCAAACAAGAAAATTAATCTCTATAAAATCACTTTATAAATTCAAAGCCTTTTGGCCAAAAGACTTTTTACTATGATTTAAGTGTTTTCGATCAATTCTAAGAATTTATATTCTAAACAATTTAAGATTTATATGAAAAGTTCCAATATTTCTTCAAATTAAAATTAATAAATTTCTATTTATGAAAATATAATTAAAAGATTTTGTTTCAATATTACAAGAAGCAATGTACGTTATGTTGGTTATTAGAGACAACATTTCTCTTATGCAAATGTTCAATAGAAATCTTTTTTTCCAGCGTTTTTCAGTGTTAGTTATATATTTGACATTTACAGTTGCGTCTTGTTTTCAACATGGCAGCCAATAAGCGCATGAAGCAAGACATGCGTAATCGCAACAACTTTACTCTCCGATAAGAGTTAACATTTTTCTACAGTGCTTTGTTCTTAGTTTTCTTGTATTAGCAATGCAGTTTATGCGAGGGATAATGAACTGCTATAAATGCAAAAGCATTGGGATTAGATATTCAATTCACCACGTAGATAGCTACTGCTATAAATTGAAACTGGTATGCTTCAAACATTGCAAAATTTTCTTAAATATATCTTTTCCGATAAGCACATATGGCATATAATTCTAAAGACGTATTTCCAGTCCGAATTATCAATAATTTGTTACTTTATAGCCTTAAATCAAAGGCAAGAACGTCAAATCATTCAGCGCCACCTTGAAAAATCTCAAATTTACGAACGAGATTGCACCTAAGATAATAAAGTCTCCTTATCAAGTTTAGCTCAAATATTTTCATAGCATTGTCACGTAAAGTTCGAACAACTTATCTTTCAAGAAATAACTAAGATATTTTATGTGTATATTCGTGCAACCAAAAGCAGGACTTCAATTTAGGACAAAAATCATCTTGAAATAATAGCTTACAAAAAGAAACCCCTTAAAAAATCTAACAATGATTTCTGTGCATGTGTTCTATGCATGTAAAATGTTCTATGTATGGAGATTTTATTATGTTATTAAAATGTAGGTCAAAAAGAACTTCAGTAGTTTTGACGGAGAAGGAACTATAAATATGTGCTCATATGGACAGCATCAAGTGAAGGAGATGAGGACAGATATAGCGAATTATTGGTTGAATCAGATCCCATTCCTAGATCAAAATCTTAAAAACACAGAAGTAATCAATTACAATATTGCAGCTTAAATGAGATAAAACCTGCACGTACACAGAACTGCAAGCTCAAAATATATGAATAAATAATTTATTTCTAAAATCTAATCATGATAAGACGTTCACTTAGAGCTGAGATTGTATATTTCTTGGCTGGTTATAATGTAAAAAAATACTTAAATTGAATTGTTTTAACTCAATTTAAGATTTTTTAATTGCAAGCTATATTTAGAAACTATCTTCAGGGACAACTTAGCTATAAGATGAACTTTTATTGAAAAGTAAATCACTTTAAATAACATAAAGAATTTTTAGTAGCTAAAAGCGATGTTTTTCTTGGAGCTGCTATATAGCATAGATAACAATTTATTTATTTATTTTTTACTTTGCCAACAACATGCTATTAATACAAAGGAACATAGACAAGTAATAGTTAGCAGGGAATATGCTTGTTTTGCAACGAGTTGCACAAATTGAAGCGACGACGCATTAGCTACAATAGCAACTATATAGTAAAGGTTTTGAGAAAACCGTTTCAATTGTACATAAAAGCAGGTTGCACTAAGCAAGATTTGACACACCGAGTAACTAATTAGTACAAAAATTTCTAAAATGTCCATTTATCAAAACAAAAATCTGAAAATCTGGTAAAGATTCCGAGACGGAAATACAAAATAAAATCATTGAACGTAAGTTATCGCAGTTTCACAGTCATAAGGTAAATGATGATAAATATTGTAAACATAGATTACATAAGTGCCAGACTATTTTTACAAGAAATCTACATTTTAACTAATTTTAAACGGTTCATACTTGGATGTGATACGTATTTTAATAGCTATTTTAATATACTTTCACAATTCAACTATTCTAGAGAAATTATATCAGACTGTTATGCTAACTAGAAAATTCCGTTTTTCAACTTTCTTGTTATCACAAGAACTCGGCATGTAGAAAACAAACTTATCAATTCCAACATTCTTTCTTGATGTTTCTCTTTTATTTGAAAATTTTCTTGACACAATATAGATAATCGGGCAAAAAATGACCAGAGAGCATTGTAGCGACGATATATTCAAGTTAAATACGAATAAAGAAATTTTCAAGAACAGATATCTTGGAAAACACATTTTTGAATTGGCATTTTAACGATATTTAATAAATAAGATAAATAAATAAGAATGCTATTTTAGAATGATATTTAAATAAGAATGAAAAATAAGGTATTTTAGAATGGTTATTCAGAGAAGATAAACAAGAATGATTTTTAGAATGATATTTAAGAAGACACATATGTAAACTGGATGAATGAAAACATATTGTATTCGACAACCGATAACAAAGCCAACAAAAAGACCAAAACCCGAAACGAAGAAAATTGGTTCAATAAAGCAACATAAATGTAAACAGAGTTATCTTTGATAAACTATTTTTAGTTTCTTGCCCATTAGTTACTTACAATTAATGAGTTACACAAAAATATAAACTTAAACAATGGTTAGCACCAGACAAAAATATGCATTTTATAGGTATATATGTTGCTGTTGTATGATATATAGCTGACATCACAAAAGCACTATTATCACAAGAGAATGTCCGGCGCAAAGAACAGATTTCAATCTCATGTTACAAACTTACCACAAAGAAAGCATAATGGTTCCTTATTTTTGAAAAGAAGTTCTAACTGAATGCAACGGATGACAAAACAATATGTTTATATTGATAAGAGTAGTAAAACATTTGAATGTCTGATGCCATGGTGTTTGTAAAACAAACAAACACAAAACAGTTCAAAGGAATTTGATTCCAACATCAGGAACTCGGCAGAGAGGACTTATTGTTTCATGCTTGATAGGTGCTTTTTTTTATGGAATTTTCTTCATAAAATGCGTCAATGAACGAAAAACCTTCGAAATTTACACTAACGCC